AATAAAATCGAACGAGCCATCTCCGAGAAATCGTCTGCACAAATTTTGTAAGAAGAAAAAAGAATAATAACTAGATGCGATCTCGTTGCGAGCAACGAGTGGGTCTTCCGTCCGATTTTTGATAAGATGAGATCAGAATTTGACTGAGATTTTTGTTCAAATATAATGATAAAAATAAATTAAGACGAAAATTTTGCTTCAGTAGTGTGTATTAAAATATTGATCATTAAAAAGTTATAGATTAAAGACTTTCGGCCCGTCCTGGCCCCTATTTTGAGGGGCCAGTCCTTTTTTCTTGGTATCTTCCTATAGCTCTCATGATTTTGAACATTTTTGTTCAACAACTATTCTGAAATTCTTTTTCGCTTCCGAGATATATGCAGAAGAAATATTTAGGGGCTGACCCTTCAACTCCTTAATGGGGGCGTTTAGTAAAAATGAAAAGGTTACATATTGTTTAAAACCTTATTTTGAACATCTTTTATTCAACACTGCTTATCAAAATATTTCCCAATTTCGGGATATAGAGTGCCAAAGATTTGTCATTCTGGCCCCTTGTGGCCCCTTATTATGTAACATATGATGTGAATATTATAATATATAGTTGTAAATTGTTGAGATAAACATGTTTGCTTCAGTAATGAATTACAAAATGTTGAGCATTAAAGAGTTATTCATCAAAGACTATCGGCCCCTCTCGGCCCCTATTTTGAGGGGCCAGTCCCTTTTTCTTCATATCACTTTAAAGCTCTTATGATTTTGAACACTTTTTGTTCAACAACTATTCAGAAATTCTTTTTCGTTTCCGAGATATTAGCAAAAGAAGTATTTAGGGGCCGGCCCTTTAACTCCTTATTGGGGACGTTAAGCAAAAAATAAAAGGTTGCATATTGTTCAGAACATTAATTTGAACATCTTTTGTTCAGTATTGCATATCAAAATATTTCACACTTTTTGAGATATATAGCGTTAAAGATTTTGTATTTTGGCCCCTTATGACCCCTAATTATATAACATATAATGTGAATATCATAATATGTAGTTGTATATCGTTAATATTAACATTTTTGCTTCAGTAATGCATTACAAAATATTGATCGTTAACGAGTTATTGATTAAAGACTTTCGGTCCCTCTCGGCCCTTATTTTGAGGGGCCAGCCCCTTTTTCTTCATACCACTTTAAAGCTCTTATGATTTTGAACACTTTTTGTTCAACAACTATTCAGAAATTCTTTTTCGTTTCCGAGATATTAGCAAAAGAAGTATTTAGGGGCCGGCCCTTTAACTCCTTAATTGGGACGTTTAGAAAAAAATGAAACATTGCATATTGTTTAGAACATTATTTTGAACATATTTTGTTCAATATTGCTTATCAAAATATTTCCCACTTTTGAAATATAAAGCGTCAAAGATTTTGCATTCTGGCCCCTAATGGCCCCTAATTATGTAACATATGATGTGAATATTATAATATATAGTTGTAAATTGTTGAGTTAAACATTTTTGCTTCAGTAATGCATTACAAAATTTTGATCGTTAAAGAGCTATTGACTAAAGACTTTCGGCCCCTCTCGGCCCCTAATGTGATGATTCAGCCCTTTTTCTTTGATATCATATAAAAGATCTTGTAATTCTACACAATTTCTATTCAATATGTTTTTAGAAAATCTCTATAGTTTTAGAGATATGATAAAAAAATGTCTCGAAAATTCACTCCTGATTCATGTCCTAAATTTCGACCCCTACCGAGCTTCCATACTAGGTACTTCCGGTAAATTTGAAAACCCAGGTGCAAAACTTCAACATGTCGTCTATAATCGCTGAAAATTTCAGCGCTCTAGCTTTTGCCGTTTTTTAGTTTTAGTGTCGACAAAATGGTTATCTGAAAATCGATTAAAGGGCGATAACTTCCGACCGGAAGTGAATTTTAAGGATTTGAACAAAAAAGGATCATCTTCAGATCAAAAGGCATTACCCCTAAAAATTTCATGAAAGTCGATCGAACCGTTTGCGAGATATCTTCTGCACAAAATTTGTAAAGAAAAAGTGGAATAATAATAATAATAATAATAAAAGTGAAAAAGAAACAATACAATAATAGAAGGGTCTTCCGTTGGAGACGGAAGACCCTAATAAAGGTAAAAAAGAAACCGAAGAATAATAGAAGGGTCTTCCGCTGAAGACGGAAGACCCTAATAAAAGTGAAAAAGAAACCGAAGAATAATAGAACGGTCTTCCGCTGAAGACGGAAGACCCTAAAAATAGTGGAAAAGAAACCTAAGAAAAACAAGAAGGTCTTCCGCTGAAGACGGAAGACCTTAATAATAATAATAATAATAATAATAAAGGTAAAAAAGAAACCGAAGAATAATAGAAGGGTCTTCCGCTGAAGACGGAAGACCCTAATAAGAAGCTTGAAAAAGAAACATAAGAATAATAGAAGGGTCTTCCGCTGAAGACGGGAGACCCTAATAATAATAAGAAACAGAGTAAAAACATGTTCCCAAACTTCGTTTGGGGAACATAATTATCACACTCAATTAAGGGGCCTTGTAAGGGGTACAGGTAGGATCTACAATCATTTATGAACTTGCTTTACCTGTATTTATTGAAGGAGGAATTCTACAGCAACAATGTTTGACATCTCTTCTGAAACATGGTTTCAACATGGAAATATTGATAAAAGATATTTATTGTTTTAACATGATTTTTTTTTTTTCAGGGGAAATGTAAAAATCTTGAAGATTTTATGCATTAGTTAAAAAATGCTAAAAATAATGTGTTTTATTTTCATAAATAATTTTTTAGCAAAAATTAAAAAAAAAACCCTATCTGATTTTTCTTGACATTTTCTATTAAATATTTATATTATCCATTTATTTAGGGAAAACTTTAAACTCTAAAGGATCTTATTTGCAATTAAAACAATCTTTTCATTTTCTCCTAAAAAAAGCCCCCAAAATTCATAAAAATTAATTTAAACTAACATCGATCTTTCCATACTTAAGCCATATATCAGAGGAGATGTCTTAAAGATCGGTTAAATAAAATTTCCGTGAACATGTAAGTAGCATTCTTTCTTAAACAGGAAAAATCTATCGATCATATGTCATTTTAAATAAATTTTGCTTTAGATACTTTTAATTTAATTTAGTTTTAATCATCATTTCAAAGCATTAATTTTAAATATTATAACAATAAATAATTTCAAAATCTTTGTAAGTTTGTATCATAAAACTCAATCACAATATACATGTAATTTATTTTGGTAAAAATCTATCAAGAAGAGTAAGATACGATTATATTTGAAAAAAAAATCATTTTGAATTTTACCCCCCCCCCCACAACTTTAGATATTGCTTCCAAACAAAGAGGTAGCAATGGTTTAAACAGTGGGAGAAGGGGCAACCCCCAGAGAAATCTAACAAGTAAAAATTAAATAATTAAAAAAAACCTTGAAAATCCTATTTTGTGTGTTCCTGTGTGGGGAGGGGTGGACTTTCTCTGTTTGTAGATTTTTTTTCAAGTGCTGGAATATTCGCCAGCGCTCGACCTTACAGCAAAGGAGTGTTAGAGGGGGCAACATCTAAATGAAAATTTACATATTAGATCTAGAGGAATAGACTATACTACAGGAAAAGTCTTTGCTCAGAAAAATGCCCCCTCCCCCCTTTTCGTTCTATGGACCTGTAAATGCGATGTGAAAAAAGTTCTCCATGTTTAATATAGATTAAACAAAGCTTAAAATGTTAAAATGTGGTGTAAGTGATGCTTCAATTAAGTGCCAAGTGTTAGGTTAAAAAAAGTTATGCTTAATTGAAAATAATTTATAATAAATTATTTATTACGTGTACATGTACATGAAAAAATATTAAATTGTTTAGTGCCTTCAATTATAGCAAGTATTTAATCAATAAATCTATGCTTTAGTACACAGTTTTATCAGTAAATATTAAATTATTTGATTTTGACTACTTTGTTCAATCAAGGTAACACAGGTAAACTCTACCTGGACCCCTTAGAGGGCCTCTTAATTGAGTGTGATAATTAAATAGTTGTTTTAGCCAGTAGACGTTCAGGGAATAAACCGGTGTGACATACCACACTAATTATGGTCCCCTGTTTGTTCAAAGTTTCAGCTGTTACTTACATGTATTAATCAAATGTTATTAATGACGAACAAATTAAACCCTCTCTCACTCCCATCCCCGAAAAAAGAAAAGATTTGAAATATTTTTCATATCAGTGTATAAGAAAAAAAATGATGGTCAGAAATTGATCTCTTTTCACAGACTGGTAATAATAAAACAAGGGAAAAAATTTCACATGCCGTATTTGATAAAAATAGTATAAAGTTTAAATTTAAAAATGCAAATGAAATATGCAAATTTGAAGAAATGCAAATGTATTGATTTATGCTAAAATGAAGAAATTCAAATGTGACAATTTGTCGTTTATTTAAAAAAAAATTGCTAATGGAGGTAATCAGTCTTTCAATGTTGTAATGCTTAAAATTCAGACTGTTCTTTCACAGTAGTCTAATTTGTTCTTATGAAGGCTTACCAGCGGCTTATCAATGAATAAAAATTTTAACAAGTTCTATGTTACATTTCAAGCTTAATATAGAACTTGTTCTGAGTCCGGTTCAGAAGAATTTTTAAGTACCTTCAAAATGGTCCATATTCCCCATTTTGCATTTGAGCCTTGAATGTCCCGAATGAAAAAAACCCATCAGATTCTCAGATTCAATTTAATTTGATGTTTTCCAGTCTTCAAGTTACCATGCCCGTAAGAAGCAATTTCAGTTTCTTTTCTTTTTTTTTGGGGGGGGGGGGGGGCACAACCAAACATTTTCAGTCTGGGTGGGCACTACCAAGCAAAAATTACTGAGGGGACACATCCATGAGTAGCTTCGATTTCTATAGTATACTAATATATCAGCAGAATTACTGGAGGTGCACCCCCCCCCTTTTCCCCTACGGCCATGGTTGCATCTTACCAGATATTGAAGGGTGCGTAAAATCCTCTGTGAAGTTTGGTAAAATTATACGGGGGATTGACTGGCCAGCTGATGGCGTCATCGTCCTGTTGATAAGACAAGTCCACAATTCTTGGAACCGAGTGCATTGGACTAACCACCAAAAGGAGAACACAGAAAGATTTAACTGCATCCATTTTGTCCATAGTTACCTGTGTCGCCGTTAACGCTGATGAAAGGTAAATATATTTCTCTGCGCTCTGGTTAACAATGAATTTTTACATCCCCCTAGGCAACAGTGCTCCAAGTCGCACTTTCTATCAGGTCGATAAATGGCCACCCAAAATTTTATTTGGTTTCCATTTCAGACTTTTTGGTCGCCATCAACAGATATTTCACTCGCCAAGGTGAAGGCATTTTGTGAATATCACATATAGTATATTATACAAGCAAAGATCAATCACTCATAAATATGTACATGTATAATGTCCTTAATAAATCAAAGATTACTGTGACTTAACAATTTGCTTCGCTGAAGGAACAACTTAAAATATTGTTATTACATAGAACCACTCATAGCGAGCGCAGCGAGCGGCGCGAAGAGCCGTTCGTCACTGCGAGCTCTTAAAGCAACACCTGGGCGAAGAGAAAATTCGGACTTTGCACATTCATCCCGCAATATTTACATTTCCAATAAATTTCCCCTATGATTCTTTACAAAATAGAATACAGTTCATTTTCTCATGAACTACCATGGATGAGCATGAATATCTCCATTGTTACGTCATAATACCTTACTTGACGTCAAAACTATAGTGCAAACTGTTTTGCTTTAAAAATGACAGTTGAATGGCGTTATTTGTGGCAAATCATCAGAAAAAAATAATGTAAATATAAGAAATGAATTCAATTTTAGAAAAGTCATGAGGTACATGAACTACAACGCTTCACGCCGGCATATATAATTATCATGAAGCGCTAACGCGCTTCATGAAATATGCCGGCGTGAAGCGTCGTAGTTCATGTCCTCATGAATCTTCAAAAATGAAATTCATTTCTTACGTAACCTGTAGTCCCATAATGCTTTGCGAATTGCATCTCGCCGCAAATTACGTTCTCGCGATAGGAACAAAAGTTTAACAAATAAAAAATCACATTGATTTAATGGACAATGCAGAAAAAACAGTAGATTAAACATTCTTCATTAAAACTAGCACTGTTCAGGTTTCGATTTGGTAATGCAACTTACAGACGTCATGTGACGTCAGAGTCTAGACGCACCAAATGTCATGTGCGGTTAGAAGAGACGGGTGTAAATTAAAACTGAATAGGTATCTGCGCTCGCCCTAACGGTCGCACCGTCAACATATTATGGTTGTACACAGAACACAAGTGAATTTACCCTAGAATTAAAGTTTAATCCATTGGAATTGTAAAATGTTTGACTGATGTGTGCATCAGGTGGAATCTTTGAGAAAGGACTTTGTCAGCTGTTTGTTTTGTTTTCTTTATTACTAGGTACCTGACCTATTAAACACTCCCTTAATATCGCCAAAACGTGATGATAGGTAAGCAATATTGACCAAAATGCTCAATTAACGAGGCTGGGTTTTAGAAATAGCATGCTGTCACAACATTACGCAATCTCTGTCTTTGCGACGCTTTACGAAGTTTTAGGAATGTCTTCACATAAAGTAAAAAAAAAAAAATATTTCAAGGATTACTATAGTATTTCAAATTAAACTGATAGTTATAGATCTACTAAATAAATATCTTCCTTAAAGGACAAAAGTAGCACAGACATTTAATATTAATAATTAATAATTAAAACAAATGAACTAGTCCATTATATTTTCTCGCGTTTATCACGGTGTTATACATGAAGTCATGAACGTGAGCTAACAACAAAGCTGAATGTATGAGCCGATGGTAGAGAGGACACAGTTTTGTTAAATTTGCGAAGTCAACTTCAAATTCCGAGTTCGACATTACATTTTCAGACACATGCATTTTATAATTTTGAATCAGTTCCCGTAGAATAAATTCATTTCTTTCTTATATTAATGAACAAAATGATTTAAATTGAATTTGAGAACTAAGATAGGCCAAAATTTAATCGTACTGTGGAGGAGAAACATTGTCAGAAACATACTTTCATTAAATTATTGCGAAACCTTCCATTATTTCAATATTTTTACTCAATTTAAATATGTAAGATCTGTGTTTTCTCAAAGTCTCAAAACAAATATTTCAAAATTTGATCATATCATTATTGAAGAAAAAAGCCCACTTTAATGTCTGCTAACAGATAGAATATCATGAAGGTTATATATATTGATAAGGTCACAAAAATAAATGCAGGATGCACTATTTCTTTTTTTTTTTCTGTATTTTTGTTAATCGTCGAATGTCATCATTTACACCCCCCCTCCCACTTTAGAAAAAAAATAATAAAATGACTAAAAAAGTGCATGCAGATCAAAAATTTAAACAAATGGTCTAAAAGTTGCTTCATATATCTGTTATTGAAGTTTGAAAAATTCTGCTTTCCCATCAAATTATTTTCTCCAAGAACCTGGTGACAAAATGTGAATCTAAAAAAAAAAAAAAAAAAAAAAAAAAAAAAAATCAAGAGAAACAAACCAATGTCTTTATTTTTTTTTATTTGTTCTCAATAATATGCAACATAATTTTGAGGCATAACTTCTGCAGACACCCTCCGTTATCGTATATACATGTACCTCACCTTGAGTGCCAGGAGCAAGCCCGGATCCAGGAATTTTTTTCGGGGGTTGGGGGGTTGGTTCCAACCAATTCCCCCCAAAAATCCAAACCAGAAATTTGGTGACAAGCAGAAGGAAAAAAAAAATTAAAACTCCTTTCCGTGAAAAACCTATTTCGGGGGGGGGGGGGACGCTTTCTTTCACTTCTTAGCTTCATACGGAATTTCGAGACAACCCTCGCACACGTATATATTCAATGTATAGATATATTTATTTAAGAAATGAATGTAATATTTTTTTTTTCTTTCAGCGAAGTATCAAAGAAAAATTTGGACGGAAAACGTCATCAATGCGCGTAGCTTAAAAATTAAAAAGTCCATAATTCAATCAAAAATCAATGGTGGAAGAAAATGCAAACTTGCTCTATAACTCCTTGAGGTAGACTCACATACAAAAATCACCTCAATATCTAAAAGCATTCAGAAGAGGAAAACCAAGTTGGAAATCTGGTCCCTCTTAAAAATTTAAAGAAAGGCAGAATAACTCCGTCAAAAATCATTGAAGTTTTGGATCATTGAAGGAACGGAATATATTAAAACTTTTTCTGTAACTCGCTAAAGTATACTCACTTGCCAAAAAAATCACCTCAATACCTGCAAGCGTTTGAGAAAAAAAAGTGCGGAAAACGACGCGTCTGCCACTATCATTTTGTTATACGTATACTTTACTACACATGAATGACACGGACCGACAAGTATCCTCAGGGACAGACTGTCTACCAGCAGAAATAAATGTTCAGTGGTTAAATTGTAGCAGAGCAAACACGGACCTCTAAAAACATTAGAGGTGGGATAAGGTGCCATGGAGGAGTAAGCATCCCCTGTCACACCCGCCCTGTGCCCCTTTTCATGATCAGGAAGACGGAAAATTCTGTAGACAATTCAGTGCGAAAACAACGGCCTATAATATTTTGTATGAAAAACGTTAGTCAACATTCGACTTAATCATAGATTGTTTTTGCTGTTGAGGTCATTGTATTGACCATAGAATCTGCGAAATGTTAACTTTAAACAGACTGTTGATATTCTTGTTTCATCAACTTATTTGCCTCGTTTTAGAAATTATTCGTACGTAGAGCATAATTATGCTCTTTTGTATCAAATCAATCGGGAGACGCATTATGCAGGTGATAGAGGAATAAGGGAAGTTGACGATAGAAAAGTTGAAGTGTTCATGTTTGTTACAGTGTATAAAGTTTTGTTGTTAAGTTACCAATTGTCTTTTTCTAGTAAAATATCCAACTATGAAAAAGATGTGTCAGACTCTTTGATATCTTTTATTTCGAGTTCAAAGAGATATATATCGAATCAATGTCTACTAGGAAGGAAAATGAATGTTGTTAATTGATAAAAAGTCGTCAATAAATCTAAATGCTGTATAACAAGAGACATCTTCTGTTCATGTAGTAGTTTTTGAATAAATTCTGCTTCATATGAATAAAAAAAGGGTCTGCAGAAGTTTCGTTTGGTGTCCCATACCACCTTAAGGTCAAAAGGTTACAAATGTTGGTATCAGAGAGAAGGCCTTGTCACAAAGAATAAACATATTAAATGAATTTCAAACCCCAATTATCAACCACTCAAAAGTTATGCCTGAAGTAGAACTTTTTCCAAATTAGGTTAAACTTCAAGTTAAAGTCAAAGGTAAAAAAAATAACGGTACAATTGTTAGAAGTTGTCACAAGGAATGCACACGCGAAATATGAAAGCCCTAGCTCCAAACATTGAAAAGTTATGGCCAAGGTTAAACTTTTCCAAAGTAGAAGGTCTAGTTCAAAAGATCAAAAATGTTGGAACCCTAGAGAAGGTCTCGTTACAAAGAACGCAAAAGTGAAGTATGAAATCTCTACATGTAGCATCAAACATTCAAAAGTTATGGCCATGGTTAAAGTTTGGTAAAATTTTGTAAAACAAAAAAAAAAAAACAAAAAACAAAAAAAACAAAAACAAAAAACAAAAACAAAAAAAAAAAAAAAAAAAAAAACCAAAAAAAAAAAAAAACCAAACAAACAAAAAAAAAAATTGGGTCAAACTTCAAGGTCAAATATGTTGGTACCCAAGGAAACATCTTTCCACAAGGAATTCATATATAAAACACGATAGCCCTAGCTCCGACTAATCAAAGGTAAAGGGCTAGGTGAAAGCTTTTGCGGACAAACAAAAGGACAGACCAAAAACCATAAGCCCCCGAATCTTCGATGATCTCACCTTACCTATCCTGTCCTTGGCTGCGGCACATAACGCTGCTCCGAATCATCGATTACGGGGCATAAAAATGATTGTTAGCTGACGAAAGGAAATAACTTTAATTAAAAGAATGTTAAAGTTATGCCAAGGAATGAAATTAATAAAAACATTGCACATTTAATTCTAAGTCTGTCCTTTAAGGCATTAATGTACATATCAATTCGCCTGTTTTCATTATCTGCACTCTTCTGAAAAGAATTTCAAAATTGCATGTTTGAATGCTATTAAAAAGGCGTATCTTGTCACCTGACATCACGTATGATATAGATAAAATTTCCGGATATTCCACTTGATTATAATTACTATCAAGAGTTATCGTTCTTGGTACCAGCTTTACCTAGAAAAGAGAAATGGTTTTACTCTACGCCCTGTAACTAATTCTTCAATACACAATACATGTACATTCTATAGCAGGACAATTCACGCTTTATGATTATAGATATTTGCATGGCAATCGCATAGTGTGTTGTCTGGCGCAGTAAAAATATATTGCATCCTTCTTTGTGGAATGTTTTTGATGCTAAATTAAACTAATCATTTGATGCCAATCGCATCTTCTCAGGCCTTTCTGGAAGAGCTGTTTGTTTAGGCATGCCGTAGAAATTACGATTGATTTTATCTTTTTTCTCTCTACCCCCACCCCCTCTCATTTTTCGGCTTCAGAATTATGAAAAGTGGTTTGTATTGAAAGGCTTTGTCCACATCAACCTCTCCAAAACAGATTTGGGACCCCAGGTCCCTCCACGCAAATTTTGCCTCACTTGAATTAAGGCAACCTTGAATATCTTAGGTATTGCTGTTGTTGATAGTATTTTTCTTTGAGTCTTATAGATTTAAAAGTAATAGCTTTTAAGAAAACTTGCGTGACTAAAGCAATCCGTCATTTTTTTTTTCTGAGGTTCAAACTGTTTCATTACCGTACATTTTGAGGACCTTGTACACAAGAAAGCACGATGATTTTTTTTTTATCTTGTTTGGAATTCATCAGCATTATGGAAAGAGAAAAAAAACATTATTTGAATATATATATATATTTATTTAATCTCAAAGAACAAGGATATACGTTGAATGTACATGCATATGGATAACATTTCAATGGCATGGTATTGTTTTACAAATTTTACTCTTACATGTAGAAGTGTGAAGAAAATAACAATGTTTGAAAAAACTGAATATAAGGAGTTAAGGATGTACATGGATAAGCATGGTAAAGTGAAATGAAAAGACATAAATCAAAATGTTATATGAAATGAAAAGGTATTAATCAGTGTTATTTATGAGGTGTATGGCAAAATCTTTCTGATAAACCATCACCTAAAACAAATGTCACACTACTGGTTACAGTACACTTTCTGAAAAGTTATGACCAAATAACAAATGTAATATTGTAAATTAACGAATAACCTTAGTGCATGACACATGAACATTTATTAAGTACATTATATATTGAATCAAATTACATGAAATGTTCAGATGCTTGAACAGCAGGTATACTAATGGTTTTGAATATAAATAGTTGTGAGAAAGCAAAAAAAAGCTACACCTCTCGTATATATTGTGTAATCTACTTGATAAGCAAAAAAGTAGAAATATGTCCACATGACATGAATGTCCCACCTAGGGTTCATTATTAATGCAACATTGAAGTGTGAATTAACGTATGAAGTTTTATTAGAATAACTGAAATAGTTTCTTAAAAACGAGTTTTTATAAACAATAAAAAGTGACGTCAGAGGTCATTAAGAATGTCGAGGTAAGAAAATTTGGATAGTTGATAAATTCTCACAAAATTGTGTCCTAGTGCATTAACTTGCATAAAAATATCTAGTTTCTTTGAAACTGACCAAAGGGCAAAATAAAAAAAATAATGTCAAGGTCATACACTTTGGACAACTGAATAGTTCTCACAAATATATATCAGTGCATGTGTCTAGATAAAAATATCTTGAATAGTTTCTTTGAAACTGAGCTAACGGCATAGTCTTACTGACACAAATAGACTAATCCAGTAGTTTAGAAACGCCGAAAAATGTTACACAGACATGTCTGTATAGGAATTGCGAACAATAAACAGGTGCATATAAAAAGAAAAAATCAATAATATGATTCTTTTTTCTGCAAACGGTTTCTTTTAAAATTCAGGTAACAAATTCCAATGTAAATCAGCTTGCACAAAATCTAGCTCACTAAGTATGATCGCTTAGTTTCGGACCATGGAAAAATTGATCCTTATACTGCCTGACATTCTTGGCGTCAGGCAAAAAACGATATACATCTCTCGTGGATTCTCAAGTTAAGTTTCATGGTAAGGAAATATTTAACTCAACTTCAATTTCCTTGATAAAATGTGCACATTTTCAGATAGAAATGAAACAAAATAAAAAGAAAAAAGAAAATTACATTAATATTGTACAGATAACGCTCGATCCAAAATGTATAGTACACGTAACTGTGAAAAAAAAACATTGTGGAAATAAACGAAATTGTGAAAATCAATCTTCTGTACATATTAAGGAAGGTCATCGGTTTTCTGGCTGTCATTTCAAATAAATTATTGTAATTTATATTCAGTCTTTCTGGTGTTTCCAGTGAGCTCCAGTTTTTTTTTTTTTAATTTAAAAATACAAACCTTATCCGCCCAAAAGTTGTGATCCTTGACATAGGACCGATATTCCAATCAACGGACTACGAATTAAAAAGAAAAAAAAAATTACAAGATCGATCACCCTTCAGTACAAATGTCCATATATGTAGAGGTAACAACAGGTCCTCATGGGGTTCACTTTATAAATAAGAGGAAGAGTACTTGTTCCTGGTTTGCATAGAAGACTCACTTTCCTGGCTAGGCCGTAGATATAAAGAAGCTAGGGGTGTTGTTATGTACAAAGCTCCCTCTGGTAGAATTTTCACTAATAGAAGTTTCGAAATATTTACATCTTGAAGCTAGGGATTGTCTCAAAACCGGATCGAAAGTGCTATTGATAAACCGTAGGTTTATCTAATGGGTAGTATCCACCACACTTATGAAATAAATGTATAAATGAAAACCTCCATTTTATCTTGAAATATGAAACTAAAAGTAGATTTAAGGTAAAATTTTTTTTAGATAAATATTCACTTCTATATAAAAAGAAATATATATATACATATTTAAAATTTGACAATAAGAGCGATGATCAGAGAGTATGTGTAGATGATGGAGCATAAAGCTGTAGATGCTGCGTTTGTTTTGTCCGGATCGTCATCGTATGTCCCGAAAAGACGCGCAGGTCCGCCACTTCCGTCATAAATCTTCACAACCGGAACGTAAATAGTGCTTCCGCTTTCTGGAATGTTATCCAGATTTGCAACATTTTCAATCCCTACCACGTTATTTTTTCCAATGATCACGTGACAGGTCAATGTTCTGGACTGTCCGTAATCAGTAGAGGGAGTGTCCACCCCAATGGCGTTGACTTGTCTTTTGTTTATCAGCCATGTGACAGCTTCTTCATGCCAGCTAGGAAAGTGGTATGTAGAGGAATCTTGAAGGTCTGTGGTCCCAAAGACAAGAGTGGCGTTAGGATATTTTTTGGTCCAACCCGAGTTCATTATAATAACGGCATGCCTAGGAATTTCTCCGTATTTTTCCTCGTATTTCGAAAGATCGTCTGTGGAAACTCTTCAAAGAAAGAAATTCATACATTTTAAAAACCTTTTAATTTTTGGTGCCTTGCACAATACAATACTTATATATAATGCTAATATTTTCTTTTTGATAACTTATACAATGAAAAAAAAAATCACGTTTATCCTTCGACAGACCTAACAAAGGCACGCTACCGTGGGTGTTTCTTTTAAAGAAGAATTGATATGTGACTTATAATTTGACATTATACTATCGTACAAATTAGTTGAATTTTATTTGTCAAAAAACATTTGTTAAAAAACATGGATACTCTCTGAATGATAAAACCGCGCACCTCCAATGCGATAGTCAACATCACTTGACGACGAGCGATATCATACCCTATTACCGGAAACTTGGACTGCCGGTGCAACTGGGACGACAGAGTCGGCGAAATTGTTTTTCGCTATGACATGTAGATGATTTTTATCGTATTTTGACTATATATCACATTCATTTACTAACGCATGGCTGTTTCCCGTTTTGGTTATACCATGAACTATTTTTTTCGTAGAATATAAAAGTCTGATTTCTTATTACATTAACAGTGGTTCTATGAGAAAGCCAGGCAGGGGGTCATACATGAGGTGTAACTCACTTGAATGAAATTTTCACAAAAGACTCCTGCAAAATAGCATATCATCACAAGAGAAAAGTTTTCTCAAAATTTTCATCATTGGGGCCCACCAAGGGGGTATCCCATAATGCACCAATTTCATCATAATGCTGTGTTTGCATTTTTTTGAAAAACTGCTATATTCAACTACCATATTCTTGTGTTTATTAAAAAATTGAGACAACAAAAATTAGACTGAAAGAAAATATGTATTATTTATTTAATTTTGAACATATTTTTTCTTTCTTAAAAATCAGTATTTTATTTTAAAACAAGGGAAATAACTCTTGATATAAAAGCCATCGAAAAATACTCCAAAAAGGCTGATATTCAAGATATTTTAAAATTGGGTTTGGACACTTAAAATTTAAAATGTTATGGTTTAAGGTAAAGATTGTGAACTTAATAATCATTTCATACAAGAGGATAATCGGGTTTTGATTATTGTTGACACAGTGAATTTTTAAAATTGTAGCATTTTTTCAGAAAAATAACAATTTTTTAACAGAGTTATCTCCCTTTGTTTCATACTTTCATCGAATATATATCATGCAACTGCTAAATAAATAAATAATTCCACTAAATTTTTGTACAATTACTGAACATTTTGAAAAAAAAGGCTTTCCATATCTAGATAAAAAAAATTATGTGCTACATTGTGCTACAATGTACATGTATATATATAAGTTAATTTTAAGTCTTATCGAATTCATCAGCACGGCTAGTTCTAAATCATGCATAAAAAGTTAAGACTCTTTCAAACTTTATCTGAAATTACTTTAAAGGCTTCTTGTACATACGTGTCTTCATTAAAACAATATTACACAAATTTATGCCCTGATATTAATCAAGAGGTAAGCATGTCATATACATAAAATATTTGTGCAAATAAAAATGTCTTCCAAGTCTAGAATAACATATATACTGTAGAGCAAATGAAGTACAGTCTTAGGTTTGAAGCTACATGTATCAATAAACATAGGTAATCAAAGATTATGAAGCTCACTGCAACAAATAGGAATGGACTGTGACAGAGTTACTATAAAGATTTAAATCACAACTGACACATATCTGTTACAGAATTCACCATGTCATATGCTTCCATGGCATCCAGATCTTTTAGGACATCATTCAAATCTTCATCCTCCTCAGATTTGACTGTAAGTTCTAATTTTGGTCTTTTCTCTCTGTCGGAGCTTTCTTTTAGCAGTTTATTTGGAACTGTGCAAAAAGACTGCGGACTTGTTGGGCTGTATTCCAATCATTTGGACTGAATACATGACTGCCATTTTCATCTCGTTCATTACGAATTTGTGAAGAGACAGACACAGGGTTTGCTTTTTTACCAGTTATTTCACCCTCATCAAAAACATTTTTCACAAATTGTTTTACAGCCTTGGAGAATCTTACAAATTTTCTGTCCGACTTTAAAGCCCATCCTGTTTTCAGCTGTGATGTTTGACTCTCAGAACTTACACTGGAAGCCTGCACGGAGTGAGATTGGTTGTAACATAAAGATTCATTACATTTTTCTGCCCACAATTCCATGGCTATATCTGTTCAACTATTGACCTTATGGTAAGAATGATTTCCTATGGCCAAATGTTTTTCTAATGTTGATGGTTTTCTGAATGATCTTATACAGCCAGGCTCAGTGCAGGTAAGATCTCCATTGTCATCGTCCTCTTCATCAGAATGTTGAGATGCAAATGGAAGCTTCAACAGTCCTGTTTGTGTACATACTGGTATAATCGCGGAATCTTCTATGACCTTCAAAAAAAATTGTTGAATATATAATTATATTGTATAGAGCATAATACACAAGTTCAAAGGTCTAAAGGAAATTATGATACACAGTCTGAACTGATCATAATTTTACCTTCATTTTGGTCTCGTCAAAGGCAAGATTCTGAGATATTTTCTCCAGTGTGCTCCTTGGAATCAAGTGTCCTTGACCAATACCATAGGCTCTAAACACTCTGATGCCTTCTTCCTCAAACACAAAATTGTTCATCTGACTGATTTTGAAGTTTCTGATAGTTCCTGACAAAACAGGCTGATTGTCTGTGCTGATATCAATCAATGTAATGAATGTATTTTTAACTCCTCCGTGACTTTCCAATGCTGTTTTCAGTTGATTTGCACTTTCCACATAGTTACCTTCATTAGCATACTTCAAAATATGCATTCTGCATGTTCCAGTTCTTGAATCGCACAGGTCTTTGCCACTTTGGACCTCACTGAAATTGTATTCTCTTATTTTGAGCTGTAGAAAATCATAATTCCTCCAAATGTAAGACATCAATGGCATGCTGTGGTAACATCCTGCATTGTCAGATTTTAAATACACCTCTGAGAGATGGGGGTTGAAACATTTCAGTTTTTCTAAGCTGTCTCTATGATGAAAAGTGTTTCAGTCATTCTGTCAAGATGAATAAACATTCAGCCAAACATGTGTTTTTCTCAGAAAGTAAGGTACTTCTGTACAAAATTTGAAAGCATAGTTAATGTTAAAACAGATTTATTGCATCACAACAAAAGTATTGATTGACAGAAAGACAGACATACAATGTGTATTCTATAGGGCTCCAACATTTTCATGCTGTGTTCTAACTTAATGCTCCTTTAAGACAGCATTGCTCACTTCACGAAATTTGCTTGATTTGAAATTGAAGATCCAATTTGTGTTCCAAATTTCAGTTTCACTTATAAGTTTCAAATTAGAACTTCAAGTAGATTTAAATAGTGTAATGTATTTTCAATATGAGTTGCAAATATCTCAAGACAGGAAGAGTCCATGCAATTCACTATTTTTGTTCCCCTTCCATTTTGCCCATAGATACTATATTGAGGCCAAAAAAAATAATAGTCTTGTTTCCTGCTACCAGCCTGAAAAAAATAGGGTAGGTAGGTAGGAAAATTATTTTATTTTTTTATTTTATTTTTTCCCAACAGTATTTTTTGAATATGAACTAATACAAAACCAAATTAAACGTGTCAGGTCAATATTATCTTTTAAAATTAAATTTCATGTCTTTCGATGCACAACTCAATTGGTAGTTTAAGAAAGTCCATATTTAAAACATAGAATTTCATGAAATACCACTTGAATATACATTTTTTCAGTTTTGGAACACGAAATTCCTGATTTTTTTTCCAAAACTAAAAAAAAACTTTAGGGTCGGGTGCAAAAAATAGGGTAGGTCAGGTAGCAGGAAACAAGACTTTTTTTTTGGGCCTGATTGAAATTTTAATTCAGTCATTTCACAGAAGAAGCTTAAAATGATCAAATGTACACAACCAAAATATGAGGGACAGTGATGGATGAATATAGATAGCAACATGTTACCTTAAAGTACGTAAACCAAAATACAGTATGTACCTTCAATCTCTGAAGTGTGTCGTGAAATAGTTTGAACCACAACTGAACATTGTTCAATGTCACTATCTACTTTCTCTTCAGCATGTTCAATAATATCCATACCAAGCTTCATAAATTCAGCTGAAATAACATAAAATTAGCTAATAAGTTCATGCCAGCTAGTGTAACGATCAGTAATGAAAAGACAAAACTCATCTATTTTTTAGTAGTCTTACCCTAGCTTCTATTTTGATATATATTTAACATTATATATCCATTCCATTTATTTTTCCTTTTTATACAGGAATGGTATTTATTATATATTTGTTATATAAGACAGGATTTTTGCACCCCTTATATGAACACAGGCATGCGCCTGGTGTTGTAGGGGTGGGTATGAGTTGTGAAACTGCCTAAATGATTGTGTGATGGAAGACACCCCCCCCCCCCAATCTCCCTTCCCCTTATACTTCCACAGATTCATGGATCTGCATGTGTAGCATTGCTGACATTAATTACATAAAAAAGAAATTGTTTTATGTATTCCAGCTTAAATTTTTCAAGGCGGATAGGTAAATAGCTTTTTTAAGATTATTCAGCAATTGTCATAAAATCAAAGACTTAAAAATTTATTGATGTTTTCATTATACATTCACATAGGACAGCTAGAGAGATTTAATATTCATTGCTTTAAAAATTTTCAATCTAAATAATGTCTAGGAGAAATTATTAGCTTTAATTGTAAAAATATTACAGATAATATGCATTGCCCTGAAAACAAAAAAAATGAAATAAAATTTAAAGTGCTAAAAAAAACTGATTGGGTTCTGGTGGTTGTAACGGTCGGGTCAGACAGAGTACACAAACAAATTTTTTATTGTTGGCCTGGCCATGCATATACAGGCCCGTAGGAAGCAATTTCAGTTTTTTTTTTTTTTTTTTGGGGGGGGGGGGCACAGCCATACATCTCATTTTCAGTTGGGGGCACTATCAACTACCAAAAATTCCTTGACAAGG